TTCCCTTCCTCTGTTCTCTCTCCTTTCCTTTCTTCTCTTTTCTTTATTTGTTTATTATTTGTTCATTTACTATCTCAATAAGAATTTTTAAAGTTTTTTAAGTTTTTTTTTTCAAAATAGAGAGTGCATGAGCATACACAAGAGGGAGAAAGAAGGAGAGAGAGAGAGGAAGAGAGAGAAAGAGAGAAGCACCCTTGACATTGCAGCACCTGTCATGCCACAGTCCCCTTTCTCTGGCCAGCATCCTAGCCACACATGCACACACCCAGCTTGTTTTCAGTCTGACCTGGGGACCCAAACTCAGAGTCAGTCATGTGGTTTCCAACTCTGCAGTTCATTTTGCTTCTGACTGTACAACCAGGCTGGACCACAATAGGAATTTCATGGAGTGCCAGTCACAAGGAGAGTGCCAGGCTGGGCTGGGAGGCATGAAGAGAATGTCCCTGCTAAAGAGATTATGGTTTAGTGGAGGAGCAAGACTAGTACATAAGAAGTACCTAAGCAGCCATGTGAGATATCTATTTACACAGTGTAGACAAGGCGGAGAGACAAGAAGAGCTTGCTTAAAGCAAGTCATCTTGGCCACAGCACATGAGGAAGCCTACCCGAGACAGAGGAGTCAGAGCAAAACCTTAAAGGACAGGTGAAATTTGAACTTGTGAGAGGGCTGGGTGCATAGCAGAAGTGGGGCCATCCGTGTGGTGTCTCGTGCACAGTGAAGAGGCTGGTCCATGCAGAGCAGAGGGATTGTTCAGGGCTGGCATGGATGGTATATTGAATGCTCCATCTTCCCCAGCAAGCCTTCTTCCATGGCGCACCCCCTGAAAATATGAGGGGACTTCAAAAAGTTTGTGAGAAAATGGAATTAAAGTACAAGTTTATTTGGGTCCAAAAAATACTGAAATTCATTTTAATAAAATGCATCTTACATGAAAGTTTTGAAGACTTGTCATATTTACTGCTCTGACACCCCCCCCCCCTTTTCCCCTTTTGCATCACTTTTGGACTTTTTGGAGATACTACAGTGAGCCTTGTCCTGGCCTCTCTTTATATACTCAGCTCCAGCCCCCTCAGTCTTACACACGTGTCTATTGTGCTACCGCTCTGGAAAGAGAGATAAAGGAAAGACTGTCGACACTGTGCTGGGCAGTGGGTTAGGTAGGCTGAGGGTCCCACCGCGCTCCCCACCCCGCTCTTTCAGGTGGCAACTGGTGCCCCATGGTTGAGGGCTGGAGAGTGGACAAGACTAAGCTCACAGGCTCCTGCTGTTCTGAGAGTCTAGGCCACCGTGACCCGAGGCCATTACCACTTTCAGCTCTAGTCCTAAGATGCTCACAGCTGAAAGGGGGTGGGAAGAGATAATCAGACAGCCCTCCACAGTGGCCAATGAGGAAGCATCAGCCAGACCCATTAACAAAGAAGCTACAGCAACACATTTGAGTCAAGAGGGTCAGCCAGCCCCAGAAAGTCCTTGCCTGGTCATCTCAGAGCCTGTGACTAGAGCCCTAATTGCCTGTCCTCTGAGGAGCTGGCCCTGGTGAGGTCTTAGAGCTGTGCATCTCTTGCCATCCCTGGGTCTGCTTTCTTGGAGGCCCAAGTCCCCCACGACATTCTCCACTGCAAAAGACAGCTGTCTCAGAAACCCAGGGTGACAGTGAGCAAGGCTCTCCTCCCTCCCTGAGCCAGCCTGTTCCCACACCATGCCAGCCAGAGAAGCAAGCATTCGAGTTGTGCTGGCCGCCCCGGAGTCCTCCAGCAGGCACAGTGGTGCAGTTCAGTCACTCACCCTGGCAGCAAGTATGTATGGAGTGCCCACTATGTGCAAGAGACAGAGGATCCAGCTGAAAGCAGACACTCTGTCCCTTCCCTCGCTGCTGGGGAGACTAGCCAGAGTATTTTCAACCTTTTCCTTTGCCTTCATGGTAACTTCTACAACATGCACTTTGCCTCACAAACTACCTGTGCCAGTGACTCACATGGCAAGGGCCCTTGCAACACTCTGTCTTCCCCAGTGATTCCCCTCTAAGGCTCATGTTTTGGTCTCCTCATCCCACAGGGCTGGCTCTGGAATTGGCCACTCCACATGCATGTGTGAGATACAGCAAAACAGGCTCAGTGCCATGTGCATTTCCTCCTGGGCAGCATAGCAAGCCACCAAGGGCCCCCGAGGTCACCAAAAGGGAGTGGCTACTTGTTTAGGGGTTGTTTTTATTTTTGGCATCTTGTTAATAAAGCAAGTTTCCATGTTCTGATAACATACAAATGGGTTGCTGAGGGAAGCAGACTTCTGACTCAGAAGCTCGTCTGAGACCACATAGATTTCCCCTAGAGGGAGACTAGGCTCTTTGCTCATGCAGAGGGAGACCTTGACCAAGGAATAGGGCTCAGACTCACATTGTGCCAGCATCAACCAGGCTGCCCCATGCCAGAATCCAAAGATACTGGCAGGGCAGGCAGTTCAAGTAAGACAGTGGCATAGTGTGCAGGGACCTCATTTATCTCTGCACGCCTGGAACGCGTGAGTATGCCACCATCCTCACCTTGTCACCACCCTCTGGTATCCTAGGACCACTTGGTGGGATAAAGAAGGGGTAAAGGGCAGTGAGTACAGCTAAACCTCACCTACACAGTGCAAAAATGCCCCTGTTCATCTACCAAAACGCCATCACACCAGCGTCTGTCCCCAGGCCTACCTCGGCCTGCCCCAGCAGGCCTGCCACTGTCCATGTTGCTAATGGCTGTGGCTGCCGGACTTCCGTGGCAGGAAGGAATCAGGTTTCTGAAATCCAAGAGTCAGCTCTTGTTCCCAGGCTTTGATGTGAGGCCATAGCTCTATGTGAAAGCTTCAGACACTTCCTACATGCTCTGCCCTCCCAGCTCCCCCTGAAAAGAGACCTCCTCGTTGGGAGAACCAGAGGCTGGGTTGCTAAGAACTGTTCTTGCCTTTCTGATGCCCTATTTCCTACCTCTTGGCTCTCTAAGTGCCCACACTGACACACACATACATGCACACACACAAACATCTCCTGTGAAACTTGGTTGTAACGAGGCAATAACCAACCATCTCAAACAGTCTGTATTCCTTCAGTCAGGAGAGTTTGAAATCAAGCAGAAGACTAAAAATGCAACTTTGATGACATCAGAAGGGCTTCCTCCCAAATGAACTCTAACCATACTTTTTGTTTTCCTGTTTTGTAAAGTATTCAGAAGGGGCATGTGAACCTGGCAGATTCATTAAGAGGACCAACAGCTCTGTGGGGACAGCCACCCAGCAGGCCTCATTTGGGGTCAGCAAGGACTAGAAAAATCCTCCAGGGGTCAGCAGGTGGTTAAGGCAGTTGGGTCCCACATGGCCTACTAAGTGGTTCAAGTCCCAGACCCAGCAGCTTAAAAAACGTGCCAAGCCCATGTGTGTGTGCCCAAAATCCTGAGAAGAGAATAAAGGAGAAGGGATTGCGGAGTGGCCATCCCCCTAGGGAGGTGATTGCTTTCTCTCTCCCCATAAGTATGCACACCCTACTGCAAACAAACAAATAAACAAAAATCTCTAGCCCTTCCCCTCCACCAATAATGGTCAACCTCCATTGGAGTCACTCTTGGGAACAATGCAGCAATTCCCAAAGGGTTTCCATCCTGGAAAGGAAAACAAAATCTTGGTAAAAATTGGTTTTAAAAACTCTAGATCAGAAATATTTTGTCCATTTGTTATTACAATAATGAACTTTTCAGAACATTGACCATGCCAAGCTATTGTGCTACTTTTCCTTGCCAGATTTTTAAATTTGTTGTTTAATGAGTTAGAGAGGGAGAAGGAGAGAAAGAGAAAGAAAGAAAGAAAGAAAGAAAGAAAGAGAGAGAGAAAGAAAGAAAGAAAGAAAGAAAGAAAGAGAGAGAGAAAGAAAGAAAGAAAGAAAGAAAGAAAGAGAGAGAGAAAGAAAGAAAGAAAGAAAGAAAGAAAGAGAGAGAGAAAGAAAGAAAGAAAGAAAGAAAGAAAGAGAGAGAGAAAGAAAGAAAGAAAGAAAGAAAGAAAGAAAAAAGAAAGAGAGAGAGAGAGAAAGAAAGAAAGAAAAGGGAAGGAAGGAAGAAAGCAAGAGAGAGACAGGTGGTTTTGACAGGGTCTCCCTATGTCACAATCCTCCTGCCCCAGCCTCTGCTTACATGGGATTACTGGTGTGCTCTACCTCATCTATTCTGTTTAGGTTGGCCCAGAAACTAAACCTAGGCCTCCCATGTGGCCCCAGCCTCTTGCTGCATGTACCAGAGTAGCTAGGCTTTATCCAGATTTTATGTACTAATAGAGCATGGATTTTTAGAACATTCTTACTTGAGTTCCAAGCTTAGCTCTGTCACTGACTGGTTGTGTTGCCTAGAGCAAGTTTCTTAATTTGTTTGTGCCACTGTCTCCTCATCTATGAAATGGGGATAATAGTAGTAGCTACTTCAAAGGGTTGTCATGAAATTAAGTGAATTAATACATGAATACTCTTAGAAGAGTGCCTGGCATGTGACAAGTCCTAGAAAATGATTGCCTAAGACTAATAGCAGGGACACCATTATCTATGAAGCCCATTCTCGGATGTTCTAGGTGAAGGCTTTGTCTCCAGAAGGCCCCCACAGAAGTACATTTCTAGAGCATGCTTTGAGAGGCAGAAGCCCTTTAGAAATGTGTACTTCAGTATGCGGCTCCCCCACTGACGGAAGCACACTCACCTCCCACTGCCCTCTTCCTGCAAGTGCGGGCCGAGCAAGGGTCTGCTAAGCCTCTCCACATCTCATTTGAGCTTTGCTTAACTCAGGGACCAGGGAGGGGTGAAGTGAGAAAGACCAGGGACATTCTCTTTCTCCTAGGGCACGGCTCCAAGAGGTCTTGGTCAACTCCAGTCCCAGGCCACTCAGACAATCCTCAAGTCCCAAGTGGAGACACCTCTCCTCCCCACCTCCTCCTCTTTGTAGTAAACGCAAAAATGGAGTCACAGCTCTAGGTTGTCAGTTCAATGACCCTCCTTGGAAGAGGGGGCGCCCCTAGAGGCCAAAGTAGTTTTCTCACCAGAACCACCCAGGAGGATGGGACCAGTGAGGACAATTCAGGTTAAACACTTTCAAATGGAGTTGGCCATCATGGTTCCTTCCCCACCTGCCACACTCTAGCCTCCAATCTCTCAGCTCCATGTCCTCTCATTCCAGGCTTATACACCTTCCCCACCCTCCAAAATCCCAAACCATCCCTGTCAGCCTTTGTGCCATAGGGCAGAGCCATTCTCTGAGAGATGACCACGGCTATCTAATGTGAATACCCCGGGGCCAACAGGTGGTGTGATGGCTAAGGGCACTGGACTCCCACATGGCTGATGTAGTTCAAGTCCTGGTGCTTTCTCACTTCCCCTCTCTCTCTCACTCTGTTCCTCTCTGGTCAAATGGAAAGAAAGAAAGAAAGAGAGAGAAAGAGAGAGAGAGAGAGAGAGAAAGAAAGGAAGAAAGGAAGGAAGGAAGGAAGGAAGGAAGGAAGGAAGGAAGGAAGGAAGGAAGGAAGGAAGGAAGGAAGCTAAATAAAATAATTCTTTGGAAAAAAAAAAAGCAACAAACAATACAAATACCCCTAGGGAAGGCAACCTATTCAGTCACTCACCTCTTAGTTTGAACTAGTATGAAAGAGGCTTTCTGATGGTAAAAGATGCTCTGTTGCAGCCTAGGAGCTGAGTTCCAGGGCTTGGCAAAGGTACACAAGGGAAGGCCGTGTGTGACATAAAATAAGGACGGACCTTGGCACCACAGATGGCTCAGATGCTGACCTCTTACTGCAGGGCAGCACCCTCTCTGAGCCTGAGCTCCCTCCCCTGTCAAACTGAGGCAATAGTACAGCCTCTTAGGGTGTGGGAAGGAGCACATGAGACTGTGTAGTCAATGTGCCCGGCACTCAATGGCACTAGGGCATTTTCGTTCCCTCTGCCCTTCTCTCTCACAGTGAGAGAAGCCATATGATGGCAGGAAAGGAGAATGGGGCCAAAGCCCAAGACAGGTATCATGCTAGGAGATTTATCCTCATCGGAGTGGCCTGGTGGCTCATGGAGAAGAGGGAAGATGTGGAATGCAGAGGGCCTCTCCACCTCCAAACGCCCACAGCAGGCACCTGGGGGAGGGATATGGGCTGCAAAGCCCTGGGGTAGCCCTCCTCTTGCCCTTGCCTCTTCCCGCTCTCCGTCTGGGGATGCTTTGCCTTGTCCTCCAGGCTGGCAGTCGGCAAAGCCATCTACATGCAGGAAGGTGAGCCAGCTGGCTGAGCGTGGTCCGTGTTGACACAAACACGGGAAGGGTCTGCAGGAAACATGGGGCCTCTGTCCCCAAGAGCAGCAGCGAGGGAGCTGCAGGGCTGGGCTTTGCTGGAATGACACCAGAGACGTGTGGGGAATGTAAGCAGGCTCAGCCTGGGGCTACCAATGCCAAGTGAGGCCAGCCGGCCAGCAGGGAGGGGCGGCACACCAGCCACTCCAGCTGGCTGTCCTCCCAGGGGACCCTTGCTCCATGTGCCCATCTGGGTCCCAGAGCAAGGAGGAAGAGGCAAGTCTGCCATGTGCTGGGGGCTTTATTCACCTCCGTGGACTTGTCCCACACCCCATAGGGAGTGGACCATTCAGGCACTCTGTGAACTTGGATGGAGAGGAAAGGCATCTTATTGTCACTAACATCAGGAAGGGAAGCCAGGAACCACATGGAGTGTTAGCAATGCATGCCACTTGGTCGCCTGGGAGGAGCACAGGTACTTCATGGCCTGGGACAATAATTACAGATACATGACGTGCAGCCATGTGACAGGTAGACCCTCAATAGTCTGCTTAACAGGATGAATTAGTAAAAAGCACTTGGGTTGCCAGAGCACAAATTTGTGTTTAAAAATTGTTTACTTGCCAGGGGGCTTATGCACTTGTCAGAGAGAGAGAGAAAGGCAAAGGCAGAGAGAAAGAAAGAGAAAGCAGCCGCCAGTGGGGCATGGTCATGCCTCAGTCGCTCCTCCATTTCTCCATCCTGTCATGATTTGGGGTATGCACACACACGTGCCTAGAGTAAAGTATTTTGATAACCATTTTTTGAAAATAGCTTTCCTTTGTATCCTTGTGCATTTTATTTTATGCATATGAAAGAATCATTCAGAGGAGGGGTCCATGACTTCAATAGATAAAAGAGGCTGCTAGCACCAAAAAAAAAAAACGGTCAAGGATTTGTGCCTTGGAGTGCAGAGTTGCTGAGCCAAGCCTGCAGCGAGCTATGTGACCTTGGACATACAGCTTACCTCCTTGTGGCTCAGTTGCCTCATCTATAAAATGGGGATAATAATATCCATAACATGCTGCTCAGAGGGTTACATGTGATGAAAGCCTTGACACATGGCAAATGCACACGTGGGGGCTGCTGCATCACCCTGCTCCCTCCTCCCCTCCCCGGGCACTGGGAGCTTCCTAGCCCACCTGCATCAGACAAACTCCCCCAGAGAAACAGAACCACAGGAGGGATCCATTACGAGATTTGTTGCAGGGGCTGGCGGGGCATGTCTGGAACCCACAGTGCAGGTGCAGGCAGGTTGGCACTCAGCTGCAGCTGCAGTCCACAGCGGAGTCTCTCCTCATGGAAGCCTCCGCTCTGCTCTTAAGGCCTTTCCACTGATTGGTTCAGGCCCACCCAGATTATCAAGAGCCATCTCCTTGTCTCCTGTATTTTAGGTCAACAAATCACACATTATTCACGTCTACAAGATACTCCTAGATTTGCATCTGGTTGAGTAGCTGGGGACTGTAGCCTCTCTAAGACCATCAGACCATCCAAGGACAGGACAGTGCGGTCCTGGAGGCTTGGAGGGGGGGGTTATGGGGAATGTGTCTCCTCAATTAACTCCCCCCCGTGCTCCATCTTTCCCAAGCCTTTCCCTGGGCCCTGCCCCCCTTGCCTCTCTTGTAGGATGTCTGGACCCTCCGGTGTGCACACAGTGACGACGTGGTCCTCTGGTTGAGAAGACACGGAAGAGAAGCCTGTGGATACAGGTACATCGAGACCATGTCACAGGATACCTGCTGAGCCCGAGGGCCTCCAGGGTCCTCACAGGAGGCTCGCTGGGGGCCAGCATAAGCAGCACGTGGCCTGTGTCCTTGTGGGGTTTCTACCTGGGGGTGGCAGACAAGGGGAGGTGCAAAGACCCTCCCAAGTTCAGCTCAGGTGCAGTGATCACCCAGCAAGCCAAGGGCCTCTTCAGGAGGGAACCTGGGGAGGGGTCTGCTAGGCTTGTCTGGCACACTCTGGGTCAGAATCTCAATTCTAATTGCCAAGTGGGCATCATCCTACCAGGGACCCTTGGCTAGGGACTTTCTGAAGATGCAGATGTGTTGTGGATCTCACTGACCTAAATCGGAGGAGCTCCTGTCAGGCTGTGTTTCTCCGTCAGCCCCTGCCCAGGAAAGGGAAGTGGGAAGCCCTGAGTCTGTCCCGGGCCCTGTGAACTACTGTGGACGCTGGTGCGGCCGCGTCCCGGTCTCTCTGCGCCAGCACAGTGCATACAGACTTCTGCAGGCTGTCCCCATAGTCCCTGGCTCTAAGCACAGTGAGGCAATGCCAATTCCTGCTTGGAGTTCAAGCTGGAAGAGGCCCCATGGGTGCAGCCCCTGACAAGTCCTTTGTGCCGAGCCCCCTGGTGGCAGCAGGCGGTTATTACTGTCTGATCTTTTCCTGCCCAGGTTCATCTCAGCTAGGACACAGCCGTGAGAAGGGTTGGCCTGGACAGTCAGAGAAAGGCTCCCAGAGAAAAGGGGCCATCTAGTCTGGGTTTTATAAGCCAGAGGATAAAAAGGAATGGCTGTGCCGGCCTCAAAAATCCACGCAAAGGCATGGGCCTCAGGGAGAGGGGATACTGAACCCCACAGGCCAGTGAAACAGGAAAGGCAGAGGGGAGGGAGGCCACTTCAGGTTGGTAGAACTAACGCAGGTGTGAGGAAGGGCACGGAGAGGCTGTCAGCAGGGCTGAAAGTGGGAACAAGCCTTTGTCAAATCCTGGGTCGATCTGGGCCCTCATTAATTGGGAGACTGGAGCGCCAGGTCCTCTAAAGACAGAGGACATTTTTGTTCTAAAGGATTCCTGCTAGGTCCCTGTTTTTGTGACTCATAAAGTGTCCTTCCGGCAGAAAGAACCCCAGCTCACCAGGAACAGAGGGGCTCCTGGGAGCTGACAGACCTGGGCAGGACCTCCACCCACACCAAGCACAGGCCGGTAGCAGACATGAGGAGGGCCTCCACTCCAACATCTTCCCAGAGAGGGATGGATCAGAGACTCTGAGTTTCATACCTTTCTACAAAGTCATCACAGTCTGACAGTACGAAGGGAAGCAGGTGAGGTGGGTACAAGGTGTACATACTGCCCTTTGGGGTCACTGCCATATGGCCTGAGTTTTCTTATGTAATCTTCATAAACATCCCTCCTAAAATATGTGGTTAGCCTCATTTTACAGTTAAAATAAAATGAAGCTCAGAGAGGTTAAACAACTTCCCTAAGGTCACACAGCAGCTAATTAGCACCAGAAGTATTTGAACCCAGTGGTATGAGGAGCATTCACAGGCTTTTGGCTGCATTCCACTGGTGCCTGGACATGAGAAGCAACTTTGCAATGTCACCCACACAGCCCCTTGGTCGGGGGGAGCATTGCCTTCACAGCAATTGTGATCCCATCTGATTGATAATAAGACTGAGTTCTGGAGGAGACAGTCTCTCCACGATGAGGCTGGGCCTTCTTCTCCTTCAGCTTCTCCCCCGACCCAAGACCCTGCAGGTCCGTGAGGGGCAATGCCTTGAGCAACTTTGTGCCACTTTCTAGTCCAGAACTCTGAGCCCAGCCCCAGGCTGCCTCTTGATTGATGCAGTCAGAGGGTCTCGGCCTAAAGGTGGTGCTGCCAGTGCACTTTGCTGTAAGCGTACCCCAGTTACAGGAAACTTCATTCCTTCTCTGGTCCTCAGTCTCCTCACATCTGAGCACTCCTGGATCCAGTGCTTCCTCTGTAAGATCAGCGGGCGGGAGGCCCCGCCTGGTGGCACAGTTCGTAGCAAGCAAACTAAACTGCAGTGCTGGAACCCACATAACTGACCATGGGTTCGGATCCCCTGGTCAGCCTGAAAACATTCCAGGTGCATGTGCCAAGACCTGACGAGCTGGAGGGTTGAGGAAAGGGGCCAGCAGCAGAATGACAGCCAGTCGAGGGTGCTTCTCTCCCTCTCATTCATGCACACCTAGCTGCACTTTATTACGAATAAAATAAACCCGAAAACTAAGTGGGTAAGAGAGATGCTCTCCACGCTCAGTCACCTCACGTGCACTCTGAGTTGGTGTAACAGGTTGCGGCAGTCTGCTGGGCCGCCGTAGCAAATACACCAACGGAGTGGCTGAGACCATGGAACGTATTTTCTCACAGTTCCGCAAATGAAGAGTCTGAGGTTGAGGGGCTGGCAGGGTAGGGCCTGCTGAAGCCTTTCTCCTTGTAGATGGCAGCCTTCCCCATGTCTTCAAGGGGTCATCTGTGTGTGTGTCTGTGCCCTAACCTCCTCCCTGTGTAAAGACACCAGCTATGGTGGGTAAAGACATACCTGTGTGACTTCATCGTACCTCTGTTGGCTCTTACAGGTGCATGCTAATGGACTTAGGACTTCAATGTAGAAATTTGGTAGGGTGACAAAATTGAGCCTGTAAACAGACAGAAAATGCCCATCATTGCATAAAAGCAGTTGCAGCCCTTTGACAGAGAGCCCCTGGTGTATTTAAAAGAATTTGATTCTCATTTTTTTTGCCAGGGCCACACCAGGAGCACCAATGAGGCTAACTGTCTACCACCTGCTATCAGAGCCAGAAATCCCCTTTTTACCTGCTATTTTCTGGGCACCAGTCTCATGCTTCGCATGTGCCAGGCACTAGCTGGGGAGAGGTACAGAGTCCTAGCTCCCAGGAGCACACTGTCAGAAGGGGAATCAAGCGTGTTGGGGTTAGAGTCCACAGGAATGGGCTTTAGCATCAGATCCCAGCACAGCTATCACCAGTGAGCAGTCTCCATGAGCCTCGGTCTTATCATCTGGACAATGGGACCAGCAGTGCTGCAACAGACACCATGTGCCCACACCAGCTTGGCATACACGGGCCACCCTCCAACCACTGGCCCCTATGTCCCTGTGCCCAGGCCTGGCATATTTTTCAAGCTGCAGGGTCCAGGACTTGAACCACAAAGCCAGTTGTGTGGGATCCAACAACCTTTACCATCACACCACCAGCAGGCCCTCACTTGCCATTTTGGACCTAAATACTTACATATAGTATTGACTTACGGATAAGCATTAGTACTGTAATATTTATACTTCAAGGCCGGACTTTGCATCTTCTCTGTTCCCTGATGCTCACAAAAGGATGGTGGTCCCTCTTGGGTTCCACCTGTTCTCTTAAGCTGCAGGAGTGCCTGGGCCCCTTGAGCACCCATAGAAGGGCTCCCTCCCTCCAGTCTCACCAGCTTCGGCTCCGCAGTCTGCTTTTCCTGGTCCCCGAGTGGGGTTGAGGGAGAAGAAACAGCTGGTCATAGCCCTTGACTTGGACTCCATCCCCATCTCAGCTGCCTGCCCCTGCCCCCACCTTCCCAAAAGATCGAGGGATACAACCTTCTAAGCCCTCGGATCCCCTCTAAAATCCAGGAACGAGACCTGGAGACCAGCCAACAGGTGCCGCGCCACACAAGCTGGCCTCCCCTTCTTGACAGCCTTCTTGGCAGCCGGAGCCCATAGCCTGCATCCATCCCAGACATCACTCCCACCCTGTCCCTTCCGAGTGACAGCAACAGTCCTAAGTTCCTCCCTCTGCCCTCGTAAGAGAAGGTGGTTTTCACACACAAGCAGTATGAACTCTCCATTTCTCAAGGAGGAGAGGACGAAGTTTAAATGAGGGAGTGGGCTTTCTCAGGCACTGGCAGCAGGATGGCACAGCATACCATCACATGCAGAGGGCACAGGATTCTGCCCAAGGGCCGGCCCATCTGGGGTGAGTGGGGCCGCCCTTCAGGGGAGATGCATACTGTGCTCTCAGGAGCCCCAGGCGACCCCTCTCCTCTATTCTCTGCCCCTCCCGAGGATTCAAACCCAGGCTAGTATGCTTCCCCAAAATGTGCCTTTCATGAGAACTGAGTCTCAAAATAGAGCTAGAGATGAGGTGGAAGAAAGTAACCCAGGCCTCGCTTCTCCTCGCCCTGCTTTTGCCTTGGGGTTGAGAAAAGCCCAGAGGCAGACACCCCCCCACCCCCAGCTCTGCACACTGGTTGGACCTTGACTGCTGGCCCCACCAGGGCTCCCCGGGTGTCCTCCCCGAGCCTGCAGGCCCCCAGCTGCAATGGCCAGAGAGCCCAGTCAGCTCCATGCCCACCCTGGGCCCTGCTCAGAGGACAGGACTGAACTGATTCTGTCAGGAAGGGTTAGTCTTGTCTCCGGGCTGGCTGGATGTGAGGGAAGGAGACAAATGCATTCGGACAGCCTCGATCCGGAGCACTATCTGTCAAACATGCTGGCCACCTCTCCGGGAAGATCACCCAGGCTCCCTCTGTCCTGGCTTGAGAAGGCTGGCATGGGAGCCTGAGGCTCCAGGGAGGAGACAGGAGAAGCCAGGTGCCTGCAAGCAGAGGGCCCTCAGGGGAAGGGTGTCAGGATGGCTGGACCGAGGCCCCTGCAGAGAGAGGGCCTTCTCCCGCCCCAGGTGTAGACTGATCAGACTCGTGATTCCAGGGTGATTCCTGCAGCATAAGCCCCCCTGGCCCTGAAAGAGCTGCCAGACAGGCTCTCACTCTACAGGCTGAGTGGCTGAAAGGAAGGCGGACAGCCGGACAAACAGGGCACCCCCCCACCCACCCCTGCAAAGCCCTGAGCTTGTTTCTGCACATCTCCTGCACAGGAGTAGCCAGTAGCAGGCACAGCCGGTGGGGGTGCAAATAAACTCCACAGCTCTGAGCCCCTCCCCAGGGTGAGTTTGGGATGGGAAAATTCAAGAAGCTGAGCCCTCCGCAGTCCTGAGAGCCCTCCGCAGTCCTGACTTGCCAACACCCACATGGGTAGTGTCTTTCTCTTTCTTTCTCATGAAGAAACAAGTAAATTAAAAAAAAAAAGGAAAAAGGAAAGAAAAGGAAAAAGGAAAGAAAAGGCTCAAGAAAAGACCCACGGCTCTTTCGTGCCTAAGGACTGACAAACAGGTGCGCCAGCAGTGGCAGACCCGAACCAGACTTCCCTCATGCTTCTCCTGCTTCACTGCTAATGCCAGAACCAAAACCTTCACTGAGGTGATGGGATCCCGCTGAGAAGGACTTCCATGCATCAGGTCATATCAAGGGCATGAAAAGTCTGAGCAAATTCCTGCAGCACTGGGCACAGGTTCTTGCCAATTAGGTTGGAGACTGCAGCTGGGAAGGTGGTAGTCACGGGTCTAAACAACACAAGAGGAGCGTGGGAAATGAAAGTCGGACTGCCGTGCCAGCCATGGTTCTGGCCTGTCTGGCCTCTGAGTAGCTGTGTGTCTTTGGGGAGGCACTTGAGTCTGTCTGACACTCATGGACCACTGATTTTGTCCAAAAGATAAAAGTTGGGAGCTACTATCACCACCTCTCCCAATACCACCTCCTACATGCTCACTTAACAGTCACCTGCTGTGCGCCTGGTGTTTGTCCAGGTTCTTGGAATTTCATGAGCAAAGCAGACAGAAGTTCTGCCCTGGAGCTATCGTATTGGAGCAGGTGCACCCAGACATGTTCTTTCCTCCCTGTGAGGCTCTCTCAGACCTCAGCCCCTCTCGAGCTCACCATTTGGAGTTGCTTCTCCAGGAGACAGCTTCCGTCAGCTGTGTACAGTGGGCCGGCCCTGCAGTGATCCTCCCGGCTTCGAAAGATGGGAACAGAGGAAGGGATAGGAGGTGGGTGCAGATGGCAGGCCCACCAACAGCCAGTGACAGCACACCAGTCAGCACTTTAGCTCAGAGTTCGGGTCTGCCACTGCTGGGGCACCTGTTTGTCAGCCTTTAGGCACTAAAGAGCCCTGGGTCCTTTCTTGAGCCTTTTCTTTCCTTTTTTATTTTATTTATATAATTTTTTTTTAAGTTTACTTGTTTCTTCTTGGGAGAGGAAGAGAAAGACACAGAGAGAGAGAGACAGACAACTCTGACTGGGCCTTCACACCACATCCCATACCCATACTCAGCCAGCCCGGATCACAGGCATGCATGCATTCTCCCTCCATACCAGGAGGCCAGGGACGTGAACCAGAGACCTTCCCATGCGAGTCCAGTTGCATAACTGCTGCAGCTTGAGCCCTTTGAAGGAAGTGCTTTCTCTGGAGGAGAGCCTCCAAGGTCAACCCTATAGGAGGCTCAGAGGTAGGA